GGGCGTACTCCCACGATTTCTCAACAATCTGGCGCAGGGCAAATATATGGTCAGAGGTGCTTCGACCGGATCGTTGACATTTGAATAATAAAGGTACATAAGACTTTGCTTTGCTCCAAAAACCAATCGAACTGTAAAAGTACAAGTCCAAAAAATGCAAGGCGTACAAGTCGAAACAGACCTTCGAAGTATTTCCGATTTAGGTCAAGCCTTTTATAAATTATCCGCACTTTATAGGACAATACTAAATAGTGAAAACAAAATATGCTGAATTCACAGCCTTACAGATCTACTAGCGGCTAGTTGAGGCATGAGCGAGTTGAAAAATCTGACCATCCCGATTTGATAACATATCAAAGGCGCAGAAACTGTGAGTCTCAAAATAGCGCACTAACGGAGAAATGAACGAAGAGAAAGGCGCAAGACCGCCACGTGACAACACTAGTAGCAAAAACTGTTTTTGTTGTTCTCCAACCGTCGTGGCGTGCATTCGCAATAGAGTTCCATCTCGCTTTAGTGGTAGCTCAAGGAAGGTAAAGGGACACATCACCGAAGCAGGTTTCCCACAGAAAAAACGTCAATGTTTCGAACTGCTAAACGCCGATATCGTGAAAAGGTATAGCTGGGTTGATGCGACGCAACGGTTCAAATGCTGGGCACCTGTTTTTGATGACGATGAATGACACTGATCCATTTGAAAGAACGCGTACATCGCTTACTTCGATAAACTAGATCGATTTACAGAGAAATATTGCATACGCCATCAACCCTGTGAACAAATGATAACAACTAACAATGACGACTCTGCATGTACAGTATTACTGGCAGATGAAATTACATACAAGTAAATATTCACTATAATAAACTTTATTTTGACGGCTATCCTAATGACATTTTTATATGTATAATCTCTGCTAAAGATAAATCGAACGCAAACTGCGAAGTCAGACAATTTATTACAGTTATCAGTATGCTATTATCATGGAGTAATCCGTTCTGAAATATCCTGATCACTGGAAAAATCCCACTGGTTTTTAAGGTCTAATTTTTTTTTGAAATATGCGACTTTTTCTTGCTGATGAATTGGGTATAACCGTTTCTCGTTCAGTGTGAATTGAACTGAAAACTTAGAATGGACAGTTTGCCAGACGGATAAACGACTATACGGTGATACCCTCCTCAGCATCAAGCTGAAATTGGCAACTATAAACAGATCAAACGAATAAATAGTCAGCAACAATAGAGTACAGTTCCATTTTAACTACACAACCGGCTAATCAGCTGAAATATTTTCAGAGAGACTGATTCCAAGTACCTTAAATCAAATTACCTTTTGGCAATAGCGTGAAATTGTTGAAGCTAATCAACACTGCGAGATAAGCGATAGAAAGTTACTTACCCCGTCACAAAGAATCCTACAACTATCTTCAGTGGATAATTCTTCTACGCATGTGATGAACTGTCGCGAATTGAGATGACCATGATATACGCCATCACGTAGCCAGTTCAAAAACGAACCCTTGGCAAACATCTTTAAACTCTGTCGTGCATCTTCTGAGGCGGAGTCTGAACTGGACAAGTTTGTGCCAGATAATTTTGAAGAAAGTACTCTAAGACGGTCGATCAAATGTTCAAATCTGCCAAGAGGTATCAAACAGTAATGACTTGAACATACCATACAATGCATTACCCATACCTAACTGCCGTAGAAGGTACAAACATACCCATAAGGACTGTAATTTCATCTGGACACGTTATCGCTTTTACGATCTGACATGAAAGACAAACGCTGTCGATGGATGAAGCCTGGTTTGCAAGAAATTTTAGTACCTTGTCTGGCTGCCGGATAAGAATATCCAACTTTTCTTCCGCAATCACTGAACACTGTTTGCTTACGAGGAAGCGCGGCGCTTGAAGGCACCGAATTGCCGTCTGCATTGTGCACATGAACCGGTTAAATGGCATACCATTCAACAACTCGATCAGTTTCATTTGTTTCTGGATCTGTAAAAACTCCTATACCAACACCAACATTATTTTTCAATGCGTACTTCACAATCGCTGCCAAGTAAGGTTCTCTCGATGAAAGGGAAGATCACAGGCGCCAAATCCAAACTTTTGCATGCCACTCTATAAATTTTACAAATTGGTGACTAGCGACAATTAAAGAGAAAAAGTATTTCATTTTCGTCAAAAGAATTTTCAACTATGAAAAGAATCATCTGCATGAATGCTGAACAAAACGCTTTCTTTTTAATTACATCGCTTCATCAATGTCATTTACGCGATTCAGAAAAAGCTGCACAGTGTGTGATGTTTCTCCAGAAAGAATTTAACAAATAAATATCTGTGGAATAATTCCAAAAAAATTATGCCTCCACTACTTCAGAACCACGCGAATCAGAGCGCAATGAAAATGATTAAGGTAATGATTTTATGAGTGAATAGTACTTTTAGTGGCATTCATTCATTTTTCTACTGGAGGGTTGTCTTGCTATTTGGATATTCAAAAACAAGTTTTTCACCTATTTCACGACGTCACAACCATCTTAAGCGAAAGGCATAAGCAAAAACCTATAAAACAAAAATGTACGCTTCTGAAACGAATAGTTATAGAATGCAATTTAGACCTTATGTCATTTTTCAAGATTGACATAACGTAGCAGATACCGTCCTCTTGATCTAGTAGCTTAGCGGACGGATAGTAGCACTTCAGCAAGTGTAGAGACAAACCTTTGTAGTTTTGGATTCATTAACTGCAGGTGCTAAAATACCGTTGAACCGTAAACTCCTTAAACGGTTCCCTATTCTACTAAGAATAAACAAACTGCACGACTAAGCCGTTAAAATCAGCGGCACTTACAGGAGACTGATAATCTTATCGATGGCACTAAAAAATTAGTACTTTCTTCGAAAACACGCAGTAAGGGACGACTGCCTGTAAAGTCATTTCAGTTCACACAGAGACACTGGAAGGTCAAATGGTACTTAGGCCCGTACGTAACCAGATTCCAAAATGCAATTGTGTACAAAATTCTAGACTATGTGCAGTTCGGTGCAGAAAATCGAATGATGGTAAATCAATGTATGCTATCACATACACAACTGAAGCTTTCCGTACACCGGATTGTATCAAATGAGGACTGCAAGACCAGATCTTACGCGAATTGCACTGCCGCTTGCCCATAGTTGCCTAGAGGTAATTTAAGCACGCTACAGGTCCACAGTATTTAAGCAGCTGTAACTTATAATATTCATGCGGTAGCATATAAGGAACAACAGGTTTTAATTATTGTTCATGAGTGCTGCTTATACGGGCACGGACCTCCCACAAGCTACCCCAAATCTCAGATTTGTTTGATGACATTTTCTCAATATCTCCTCCCAATAATTTAAAACACTTTAACAAAACAGTGGTTAAACGAAACTGAAGAACTTTGCAAATTTGGAATTAAGCGCTTTGGCGGAAGCTGCCTGTTTTCAAACTTCAGTACTTGACACAAAATCATGCTGTTAAAGTACAGTGATATTTTACACAAGGTCTGCGCAATGTATCAGAGATGTGAGTTCGAATCAAAGTCTGACGCCAGTTTTTTTGTTACCAATTAATTCCACACAGCAAAGAATCTATTCAACCATGGTTCGGTGTGATGACAGCTCAGAAACGAGCAAGAAGTCAATACAGTGGGGATAATAGAGAAAATATTGTTCTGTTGCAAGTGATGCCAATATCAAAGAAGCTCACGGGTTTAATGCGTTATGAACCCGTTTCGAGGTTGCAATTATTCTGTCCCACCTGTCAGCTGTAGTGACTAGCTCAAAGTGTAGCTAAACTGAATCAGAGAGCCCATGAAAAGATGTGGCAGAAGGATAGTATAAGAAACAAAAATCAATGAAACCGGACAGGCCATGAGAAAATGAAATATGAGAAAAAATATACATGCAAGACGACGCTAGTCTAACAGAAACGATAGTTCGCTAATATGAATCAGGAAAAGCAGAAGAAAGAAGTAAGCGAAGAAAATAGTGAATCAAGTTTCTGTTTGGTGTAAATAGCTCTTTTCATAATTCAGCAAACTGGCGAAAATGAAAAATACTATGAATATGAATTAAGCTTTGTATTCGACTCAAAAAAATTATAAGTTGGTATTGATTCATTAAATGAAATAGGTTTAAAGTAGCAGTTGCATTATAGAAGTAACGTACTGCATGAAAGCTTCAACAGAAGGTTCTTCAATAAGTTCCACCAACGTTTCCAGTTCCTTTGCAATAAAATCTTTTAAATATGACAGAGAACCAGAAAGTGACCCTCTCTTTAGATGATCACATTCCAGTACTACGAAGACTTCGTTGAAGAGGTTGCTAAAATAGTGTCAGCTTAAAACTGCATCATAAACAACATCAGTAAACCACTTAGAAATCAAAGACGAAATCGGTGCTGCATCGCAGGCTCCAGCGAAATGAGTCACAATTCCGTAGAATAACTCAAAAGCAAGAAACTCCGACACCTGCGACAGTTCGCTAACGACATCGAGTAGAACTTTCATGTTTGAAGACTTGCACAGGCATCCGGCTAACCTTGGATTTCGTCCTACCATAAAACAATGTCATTAATGGTAACTAACAATTTTTACAAGGAAAATTACCCGATTGAAAGATGAACAAAATCAGTTCAAAAAAATGATGAGAAAGTTGTTCCCACAAAAGAACTTCATCGTGTTTTGACGCAAAATATC